AAACATTGCCAGATATAGACTGTTCAATAAATATTAATCCTGTTTGGCCCGCAACTTTGACTGTGTTTTAAATTTTGGCCCCTTGTGTGATTGAGTTTGACACCTCTGGGGTATATGCCATGAATTTTCTGAGACGGTTATCATAACGTGAAAATCTCATACCGTTGCAACCATACTCAACATAATTAATTATTTTCAACTATATAATGGATTAATGGATACTTTTACTGATTGATGGATTAATGTAGACTAATTAATGGATACTTGGAAATGGCCTAAGGCCTTCATCAGGAGGTAACACACTTCACTGCACTGAGCTATATCCCCATGAAGACCACAGCACAGCAAAACTATTTGGACTTTCTTCTTTTGAACAAGCAGTTTAATCAATGGATGCTTTAGAAAGAAAAACCAAAGGCCATTTAAAGCAAATGAGAAAACAGCATTTTTTAAGCCAAAACAACAAAGTCACAATCCACAATTATTTGGTGACATTTTTGGTGCGAGGTAGTGAAAGGAGGTCTCTGTGACAAGTGTTTGTATGGTCGGGGTCAGCGAGGAGCGCGACTGACAAGTTTTAAATTGGGAAGCACTAGAAGCAGAGCTTCAGTGATCACAGAGCTTTGTCCAGCTCAAAATGTGGTGGGAGTGACGCTCATTAGGATAATGTGCTGTATGAATAACACTGCCGCTGGTACACATCACACACTCCCACACTGTTTATGCTCCGCAGTGCCTGGATCAATACACATGTCTAATTTAACACTTTGGGTACAGTGATTTCTGTTCAATTCAAAATGTAAAACCTGGCTCAACAAATTATACATATTCAACAAATTGATAAGTTCCATAAGAAAGGAAACAATCGGACCTGCTGCTTTAACTCAAGACATCCTAAAACTTTTATTTGAATAAGCTTGTAAATCTGAACTAAAGAACAACTTCTGAGAAAAATCTATGTTGTAAACAATTACTTATTACACAATAAATTTACAACAAATTTGGTAATTGAATTAACACGAAACATTCTCTGGTTCCAGCTTTTTGGGTAGCTGATCTGAAATGAGTTTGGGCTTGTGAAATTGTATTATGGGTGAATATCTGCTTTCTTGTAGAATTTAGTTTTATATATTGAGATTATAAAGATCAAACATCAGTATCCGGCGGGTGACAACAAAAGTAATGTACTATTTTATGTTTATTTTTTTACTCTTCTACTAAGGACTGTCGATAATTTCCTAAAAATTGTAGGGAAATTATCGGTATCCGGATTTTTATAACCGATGTTTGTTTCTGTAGGCTTCAGCATCTCTTAGGCGTGCATGCACACAGCATGCGGACGTCTTACCGCGCGCGCTAGATGCACGTCAATAACACAACAACTACACACTCACACTCGGATTGGCTCTGCTACAACCGCGGCTAACAATCCAAACCAAATCTTAAAGCTGAATGATTTTACATCATTAACACCAAAAACATCTCAACCAGAGCTAGCACTTAGCTAGCGATTAGCGTTAGCGCTCTTTTCAGTACTTAATCACACATCGAAAGCCTTTGAAGTTGTTTCCTTATTTTGCCACCAGACAGTGTTTACATTTGGCAAAGCGCCATGTTGCCACTTTCACCTGCTACTCGCATCCAGTGGCGGCGCACTCCACAATAAAATTAGGCCCATAACCTGTGTTATCTCCACAATAGGCAGACTCGTGCTTTTGTTCTGTTCTACCTACACAGTTTTGGTGTAACAAAGCCTCTGCATATATCGGTATCCGGCGTGATCATCGGTACTCGGAAATTGAAAGT